TTAAGCTCTTTCTATAGGTCAAACTCCCTAAATTTCCAATAACTTTCTCTCGAACAATTATGAAAGTAACCCCTAATTACTAACCCAAATTATCTCTAATCAGATTTAAGCAATTGGAGATCATTACGCTTTATAGAATTTACCAAAACCTCACAAGTTGCGGTATCCTATCTCTAGCGTTTACTCAACCTATGGTTTTACTACCGTAGACCAACTAAGTATCATCTCTCGATCCCAACCTAGTCCATTAGTTCATTCAATTCTTGGGCCCTTAAGAATCAAAAGCGTTAGGCATAATAATAAAACTTAGGAAGAAATCTTAATAAAAATCAACATACATAAATCAACAGAAAATCAAGAGATTGGGCTACATCTTAGCCCTAGGAAAATAAAGTTAGTTCATAATTAACATGAAAGAAACAATCATCTTTATTAAAACAAAGCAACACGAGTTTGTAAGAAAGAAATAAGAAGAACTTCCCTATATTGTGAATCAAAGCTCCAGAAATTCTGACACTTTTCTTCTCTACAGGTTTTCCTTCTCTTATTCTCTCCAAAGAATCCCCAAAATAATGCTAAAAGACTTATATTTATATCTCACAAGGGTTATGGTTCTATTTTCCTTAATTCTATTTTATTTAGGACTCTTAACCCTATTTTCCTAATAAAAAGTGGAAGAAAAATTTCTAACTGTCATGACTGTGTCTGGCACTGTGCTGTGGTGTGGTCAATTTTGGACAAAGTGTACTATGGCACAGTGATAACTTCTTCTTCTTTAGTTCAAATCTCATCTGATTCCTCAGCACTCCAGAGATGGTGATTTTTTAGCACGAAAACGATAGAATCTGGAGAAGTGGTAAACATATGAAATGTAGCCCTCTGAATAAGCTATCCAACAGTCAACAATCGTCTTAATCTGAGGTCTACAACTCAATTTTTAAACCAAAACACCAAGGTATGCTCAAACTAGAGCGTAATCTAGATTCTCATATTTACTTCAAAGCTCCACAACTTCTTCGATTCTCAATCCATTTGTTTCTACTCATCACTCATTCCGATATCGACATATTCTTCATCCTAGCATAACATTTAGCACTAATAACCTGAAAAACACTCAAACACACGTGATCCCATAAAAGAAAATTATGAAAATATTAAGCAATTTTACCAAATTAAGCCTAATTTCTCACAAATAATCCCCATAAACTACTAAGTAAATGTGTATTTTCAAGCTCTTATCACAACGCTCAACTAGCTTCTTGCTAGTCCCTAGCAAGCTAAGTGATAAAAACATGTCTTGAAAATTAAAAACAAAATGAAACCTATACCTAATATCTAACTATCCTAAATCACTTCCGTAGATTGACACGGTTGCATTTAGCGTATGCAACAAACCTTTAAACGCTTAGGCGGCCCTAGTTGGATGAGTTGTAGTCTCATGAGGGTTTCCAGCTGTGATACCCACAAACATGCAAACCTAACCTAACCTAGACTCAAAAATAAAGACTCAATCAAAAATGTTAGGATCAATACAAATATTTGTCTCAAAAATTGTGTCTACATGCACAAATCGAATAATTAACATCACATAAATATAAAGAATAAGAAAATATCAATTACGCTTTTGTTATGGACCCTCTCATATAATCAACCACAAACCATTTATCCAAAAACTCGGATGATTTTATGCATAACATTCATAGGCAAAGAAATTTGATCTCTCAAGAGTTTTTCTCATAAAAAGAAACAATAAAAATTGTACAAGCAAACTCCATAGGCTCACTTTTAAAAGCACTCTCCACTAATTTGGAATCCAAGCACTACCTTGGATCATTAGGTCTTTATTACGGTTATAACTTTTAAGCTAAGGTAATGGGTTATGAAAGAACGGAGAGGAGTTTTGCAAGCGTAAGAGACTTAATATTTTACAATATATGACCATGACCAATTTCCTCTTTGCTTCTTTTCATTCACCCAATACTCTTTCGCATTCATTGAACTCTTCCTTCCAACATTTGCACCAATCCTCATATATTGCAAACCTCATTCTATGTTCTTCTCACTAGCTACTTCTTCCTATTTTTTGATCTTTTTCTTTTTCTACTTTTTTTTTTTTTTTTTTGTTTCTTTTCATAGGAAGATAGTAACTTATAAAAACAATCATCTACCCTACCTTGCTTCTACTATCATTTTTTTTTCACAACCCCAACCTATCTCATTGCATATACTCAGGTTGTGGTCCAAAGGATACATTTATTGTCTTCCACCACACTTCTTTTCATGTCTTTTTTTTCTAAGGTCACACCAAACTATGTCTCTCATAATAAGATGGGTCAAAAATTGTTTTAGGCTTCATCATCAAGGTAAGATATAGTAGGTTTAAAAAAAAAAAAATAAGGCTGACCTAGTGTATATAATAGGTTCAAAGGGTTAACTAGGGATAAAATAATATAGGTTGGCTTGAAAGGCTCAATTGTTCCAAAGAAAATTACCTAAATCTTATCCTAAGCAATGCAGATTCTAGGATTTCGCCTCAAGTGGTTATCAAATGAGTTCTAGAGTCTGTTGGGATCTCAAAATTAAATGCTGATAAAGAATCGCACATAAAACTTTTCTAAGTATTCAGATTATTCAACCAATCAAACCCATTCCCAAGAGAGTCGTAAACTAGATGCAATTGACACTTACTAACATCCTTACACTACGCAGAAGTTAATGTCTTCTCAAAGTTACATGTGTATCACAATTATGGTCATATCATTGACATACAAAATTAATCCAAGAACTAAACAAAATTCCAAACAAAACACAATTTAAAAAAAAAAAAAAAAATCCTCATAAATCCATAAATTCAAAAGTTTTGGAAGAGACTTCCCTTACCCCCAACCTAATATCTTCATTGTCCCCAGTGTACAAATGTAAATAAAAGGAAAAAGAGAAAAGGAAAACTTACCCCTTTTTTCAATAGTGACATGCAAATTCGCATGACAATTCAATCACCTCCCTCATTTCATTCCATTGTTTAAATCAACTGAGAAACAAACACAACGTCAATGTTAATCAAACTCGGCAAAAATAAAAATGACTCATGAACAAACCACAACAAATTCAAAACAAAAATCAAAATTAATGTAAAGAGCTCGGGTTGCCTGCCAAGAAGCACTTTGTTAGAGTCATAAGCTTGACTTTTTGACTCCTTCAATCCGAATCATCCAGGAAAATCCAAGCCCTTCTATCTTCCAATCCACCATACACATAAGGCTTTAATCATTGTTCATCTACCCTGTCAAATTTAGCCTCCATAGTCCTAGAGTTGACTAAACAATTTTCTAGGGGTGAGCTAGGGTAGTTTACTTCTAAGTTTTCCCTTACTTTGTCATGAATGGTGCCAATCTCAAAGCAAGTATCTAACTCAGAAGGACATTTCATCGTGTTAAAAACATTAAACTCAACTTGTTCGTCTTCCACCCTTATGATTAGTTTACCTTAGTGTACATTTATTAAAGTCCTACTAGTAGCTAGAAAAGGCCTTCCTAATATTAAAGGTATGTTCCAGTCTTCTTCCATATCAAGAACTACAAAATCTATCAGAAAGATAAATTTGTCTACTTTTATTAGGACATCCTCCACCACTCACCTAGGATATGTTATGGATCTATCCGCCAATTGAAGATGAATCATGGTCAGCTTCACCTCTCCTAAACCAAGTTAATGCTAGCTCCTAAATCACGTAAAGCTTTATCAAAAATAAAAACTACCAATTGTTCAAGGCATATTAAAACTCCCTGGATCTCTTAATTTCAATGGTAGCTTCTTTTGAAGCAATGCGCTACATTCCTCAGTGAGCATGACTCTCTCGCGTTCTTCAAACTTCCTTTTATGCATGAGGAAATCCTTTAGAAACTTCGCATACTTTGGCATTTGCTCTAACATGTCTACAAAAGGAATATTAATATGCAAGCTTCTAAACATATCCATGAACTTATCAAATTGCTTGTCCAATCTCTATTTCTATAGTTTATGAGGATACGGAAGAAAGGCTTCATATTTCTTCACATCTTGGGCTTTGTTCTCAAGTTCTGGTTTTAGGCCTAGGCATTGTGCTGTGGCATTCTTCATTTTGGATTTTGTGCCTAGGCATTGTGCTAAGGCATTGTTGGTTCTGTCCAATTTCATGTCTTCAGCTTTTTCCTCAATTTCTTCAGCTTTTCTTGATTCTTTCAGCTCCTTGCTACTTCTCAACATGATGGCATTGAGTTGCTTCTTTGGATTCTTCTCGGTATCACTTGGAAATGATCCTTGAACTCTCTTAGATAAAATATTATGGATTTGCCCCATTTGAGTTTCAAGGTTTCTAATGGATACAGATTGATTTTGCAAGAGTACTTCATATTTTTGGAGTTGAGCTTCGTTCATGTCAAATCTCTTGCCTGACTCCTCCATAAATTTTGTAAACACGTTCTCCAAATTTGTTTTTGTCTCTTGAGCTTGAAAACTGAGATGTGGCTTATGATTATTATTATTACTCCACAAGAAATTTGGATGATTTTGCCATGCTAGAGTATATGTGCTTGAGTATGGATGAGTATGGATTCCTTTGCCCTCTTTGGAAATTGTTAACATGACGCACTTGTTCGGGTTTAGCAAACGGACTTCCTACTTGGCAATCTCTAGATAAATGATTTCTTGCACAAAATTCACATGTTAGAGAACGAGTTTCAATAGCATTAACTATGAGAGTAACACCTAATTGTTTTTGGATGACTGAAAGTTGAGCAGCCAATGTGGTGTAGCCATTGACTTCATGCACTCCCGCTACTCTCCTTGGAACATTCCTTTCCAAAGGTCTCAGTAATTGTTGCTAGCCATCACCTCAATCAATTTATAAGCTTTCTTTAGTGTTTCATTGTTCAAAGATCCCTCACTTGCAGCATCAACTATCACTTGCGTATTAGGAAGCAACCCATTGTAGAATGTTCTGCACTTGCAACCACATCGGCAACCCATGGTGAGGGCACTTTTGTAAGGGATCTTTATACCCCTCCCAAGCTTCATAGAGTGACTCTATATCTTGCTGGAAAAAATTAGTGATGTCACTTCTCATCTTGGCAGACTTAATAGGTGGGAAGTACTTCGCGAGGAAAGCTTGAACCAACTCATCCCACATGGTAATGCTTCCAGGAGGTTGTAAAATCAACCAAGCCTTAGCTTTATCCTTTAGAGAAAATGGGAATAGCCTAAGCTTAATTGCCTCAGTTGATACCCCATTGTGCTTGAAAGTATTGTAAAGCTCTAGAAAATTTGCAATATGCAAATTAGGATCGTCACTTGGTAAACCTCCAAATTGCATCGAATGTTGTATCATTTGAATGATGGCAGGCTTTATCTCAAAGGTATTTGCTTGAATCGGTGGCCGGAAAATGCTAGAAACATCCTTCAATTGTAGGACTAGAGTAGTCCTTAAGTGCTTTTTGAACAACTTGAACTCCTGTATCAGCGATTGAACTAACTCCTATGTACAGTCTAACACTAAAAATATAGAATTAAAAATTAAAGCGCACTAAAATAAAAAATGATAAAAAGATATAATACAAACCAAATTAGCAACTAAACAGCTTGTATTGATATTGATAATATAAAAGCAATTCCCCGACAACGGCACCAAAAACTTCTTGTGGTTTTCGCAAGTGTCGTATGAAATTGTGCAAGTAATAAAGTGTACAAATAAGGATATTCAATCCAAGGGAATTACTATTATCAATTACCAAAATTTACTATCTATTTACTATTTGATTAATCACAATTTTTATCAAGGAAAATCTAAACTAAATTAACAAATGAAATTAAAAGAAAACTGAAAAGAAAATAACTAAAATAAATCTTTGGGTTTAAAGCAAGATGACTAGACCTAGGGCATAGATTTCACACCAACTCTTATTCATATGTATTGATCACTTATGCTAATTTTATTAAGCTCTTCCTACAGGTCAAACTCCCTAAATTTCTAATAACTTTCTCTCGAATAATTATCAAATTAACCCTAATTACTAACCCGAATTATCTCTAATCAGATTTAAGCAATTGGAGATCATTACGCTCTATGGAGTTTCTCATAAGTTGCGGTAACCTATCTCTAGCGTTCGCTCAACCTATGGTTTTATTACCATAGACCAACTAAGTATCATCTCTCAATCCCATCCTAGTCCATTAGTTCATTTAATTCTTGGGCCCTTAAGAATCAAAAGCATTAGCCATAATAATAAAACTTAGGAAGAAATCTTAATGAAAATCAACATACATAAATCAACAGAAAATCAAGAGATTGGGCTACATCTTAGCCCTAGGAAAATAAAGTTAGTTCATAATAAACATGAAAGAAACAATCATCTTTATTAAAACAAAGCAACACGAGTTTGTAAGAAAGAAACAAGAAGAACTTCCCTATATTATGAATCAAAGCTCCAGAAATTCTGACACTTTTCTTCTCTACAGGTTTTCCTTCTCTTATTCTCTCCAAAGAATTCCCAAAATAATGCTAAAAGACTTCTATTTATATCCCACAAGGGTTAGGGTTTTATTTTCCTTAATTCTATTTAGTTTAGGACTCTTAACCCTATTTTCCTAATTAAAAAACGAAAAAAAAATTCCTAACTATCGTGACTATGCCCCAGCACTGTGCTGTGGCATGGTTGATTTTGGACAAAGTGTACTACGACACAGTGATAACTTCTTCTTCTTTTAGTTCAAATATCGCCCATTCCTTGGCACTCTAGAGATGGAAATTTTTTAGCATGATAACGATAGAATCTGGAGAAATGGTAAGCATAAGAAATGTAGCCCTTTGAATTAGCTTTCTAAAAGTAAAAGAATCATCTTAATCTAAGGTCTATAGCTCAATTTATTGGCAAACCACCAAGGCATGCTCAAATTGGAGCATAATCTAGAGTCTCCTCTTTACTTCAAAGCTCCATAACTTCTTTGGTTCAACTCCGATTCTCAATCCGTTTGTTTCTACTCATCACTCATTCGGTTGCTGACATGATTGTTCATCCGGGCATAACATTTGGCACTAATAACCTGAAAAACACTCAAGCATGCCCGTGATCTCATAAAAGATAATTATGAAAATATTAAGCAACTTTACCAAACTAAGCCTAATTTCTTACAAATAATCCCCATAAACCACTAAGTAAATGTGTATTTTCAAGCTCTTACTAGTACACAAGAAGACCTGGTTAGCCTTGAGCTCCTTTCAAGGATCAACACCGACTTCAGCTCCAAAAGCTTGAAATCTCATCAAGCATCACCAATGGAAACCCATATTCCAGCCATGAACAAATAAACAAAGTGTAACCAAGGTATTTGTAAGCCTACCTAAGGCATATGAAACCTAATTCAAAACAAAAGAATCCTCAAGGAATTTTCAGAGTAATATCAGAGGTATAATTAGGCTTAAAAAGAATTGCATTAGAGGAGATGAATATATAGGAAACTTGGGCTCCAATGCAAGGGGACATGTGGCAAGGAATAACTTTATTGAATTCATCTTTATAAAAGTTTATTCCAATATCAATATGCCACCTATCAAAGAGAATAAAATTTTCTAGTTCATTGAATATGAATTTAACAAGTGTTATGGACCACACAAATATCTCAAAAGAGAATATAACAGCTCATGCATTCTAGAAGCATAACACGTGTTACCCAAATAAATCTGTCAAATACATTGTGATCACTCTGACTCAAAGGTGCTCACCTGATATGGGAGATAAACAACATAATAGAAGGTGGTTACTTTTAACCCAAGGTCATCAAACTGGAAATTTAAACAAGAATGATTATGCAATATTCAAAGTGAAGTAATTATACCATGACTAGTGTTACACCACTAGAATCATAAGTTGATAAAATAATTTACACGATGGCATTAGAGCAGTGTCACTATCCATTAGAAACTTACGCAGTTGCATGGAATTGATGAGTTTCTGCAAAAGATGTGGATATACTTGTTGAAGAGGGAATAATTAAAAATCTTGTGGGCCAGAATCTTGTAATAGTGAACTTCTTTAATAAATTTCGCCAAGAAATTCCATAAAGTGGTTCCCATTACTCCGGCTTGTATGAGCATCTTAGAGCGCAGTACGACAATCGTTGGAACCGCATCTGTGCAAACTTGAAATGCATATTTTTAAGAACTCCTTGGCGAGCCACGACAGCTGTTGTCGGAGCTATACTTTTTCTGCCTTGTTTGGTTGTAAACATACTTTTAATTAAGAACTTCTTGGGGTTTTAATATTTGTATTGAATGGTCTTTTCTTATTAGAGATGTTATTTATAGTCATATTCTTTCATAAAATATTTGTGAAGAGTGCTGCTAAAACGTGTTTGTTAAGAGCTAAAATCAATACGCTACGTTTTGTTAAGAATTGTTATTGCTTAAGGAAACGATGCGTAGTAGTTTAGCTAAAAACAGCCGAGTCATCAATTTGTGCTTGCTTATTAAGTGCAGTTATTCATTTTTTTCAGCTTGTAAGACAAAATAAATGTCATTTTTCTCTGCAATTAGATACAATTCACATTTCTTTTTTCGATTTTACTCCTAATCTCTCATTGTATCAGAGTCGAAAGTCTCAAGCTCGAAACCTCATATAAATGGGATAAATATATATTTTTATAAAATTTGAGTGAGGAAATTTGGTGTTTGGTTGGAGAGAATCTGAAGGAAAATAGAAGTAACACAATCAGAGAAACTCCTCTTTGTTATTCACGGTATTACGTCTAAAAAATGCCTTACAATTTACAAGTACCCCTTTCTACTTATAGGCACTTATACCTTACTTTAATCACAATTAATATAATGCCTCTGTACACAAACTTGTGTATTGACTTTCCATATCTCTTTCCTAGTATATCTCGATTTTGTTTCCTCTTATTTTGTTGATTTAATTTTTTGTTCTGTAATCCCGAAGTCAATGGGATTATTCCATGTAATTTCCCTTATAGTCAGGGACTGCTGTATTATATAAACCAATTTTGGTTGATTAATAAAATAAACTAATTAACACAAAATTGATATGGTATCAGAGCAGGCCATCTAGGGCACGCTCTCCTCATCATGTCTGATGATTCTAGCCAACATTCTTCTGCAAAAACCCAATCAATCACCGCAAACACCAAACAAACCATGAATGATTTATCATCCCCATATGTCTTACACCCATCTGACAATCCGGGAATCGTGCTAGTTTCATGTCTTCTCAAAGAAAATAACTATCCAACATGGCGAAGAGCCATGTCCAATGCATTACTTGCCAAGAACAAATTTGGCTTTGTTGATGGAACTTTGCTTCGACCAGAATCAGATTCAGCAGATCTTGCAATATGGATCAAAAACAACTCCATGATTATCTCATGGATATTTAATTCTCTTGACTCATCTCTTCATGACAGTGTTGTTTTTTTTTATACAGCTAGGGAGATATGGGTCGATCTTGAAGAACGTTTGTCACAAGGAAATGCACCTCGAGTGCATCAACTAAGAACTGAGATAGTGAATACGCAGCAGAAGGATATGTCAATTGCTGCATATTACACAAAGCTTAAGGGACTTTGGGATGAGTACAACGCTTATTCTCAAATTCCGCCTTACACTTGCGGTTCGGCCAAAGCAATTGTTGTTGAGAAAGAAAAAGAAAAGGTTCATCAATTCTTGATGGGATTAAATGAAAAATATAATGTGGTGAGATCTCAAATCCTAAACACTGATCCACTTCCTTCGCTAGCCCGATCTTATGCACTTGTTTCGCAAGAAGAAAAGCAACAACAAATTGCAACGACAAGAGGGGCAACCATTGTTGAAGCAGCTGCATTTGCTTCATCCAAAAACAACCTGAAGGCTTTGACACGAAGCAACAATGGTAACCGAGACACATCAAAGCTGTATTGTGAACATTGCAAGAAAAATAAACACACAAAGGAGACATGTTTTGAATTACATGGCTACCCGGATTGGTGGGAAAAGAACAAAACCAAATCGACATGAGGAAAGATGGCAAATCAAACACAAACCATGAACACGACAGGACAATCAACTGGATCTCCAATCGG